ACCAGGGCCAGTCCGTAGATGCTGTTGAAGCGGATGTCTGAGCAGGCCATTCGAATTAAGTCTTGGTGCAGGCAGAAAGAGTGAGAGAGGATGGGGGGATGGCAATAATTTAAGAACTTTAGGCGAATGATCACTGGAGGTATGAGCAAAGTACTTCTACATAAGATTGCCACCCCGATTTTTATGATTTTGTCATTAGTTAGGATGGAGGAGTAGCGTAGTGGGTGGCAAATGGCAATATAGCGGTCAAAAGCCATAGCAAGAAGGACAGAGGACTCCATGAAGGACAGACCATGGATGAAATAGGACTGGGCAATGCAGGCATCCAGGCTGATCTCTTGAACAACCCCCCACAGGATCCCCAGCACCGTGGACATGGTGGACAGCCCCATGCACAGGTCCGTGAGGGCCAGCAAGGCCAAGAAGTAGAACATGGGCTGGTGCAGGCTCGGCTCTGTCCGGATCACATGCAGCACCAGGCAGTTGCCCAGGAAAACCGTAGCGTAGATGGAGGAGAAGGGGATGGAGAGCCAGAGATAGTCAACTTCTAGGCCAGGGAAGCCAGTAAGGACAAATCTGGAACTATTATAATTTGAGACAGCGAGAGCAGACATTAAGAGAGAATCAAAGTATTTCCAGAGATGTGGCAAATTAGATCAGTTTATGATCCTCTAAGTTCTAGTAATGTTTGTCTGCTTTTGAAAATAAAATAACATATAAGGCAATTTCTTTTAGTGTCATAAATTCAGCAAAATAGAGACCTGATGCTTTATTCTTTATGGCAAAAACCCTTTCTCTAGGCAAAAATGTTTCTACTGCTAGTGACAAGCAATGCCTGGAGACTAGGGAATTTTATGCAGAAGCAATAATCTTAATGAGCATATGGGATTTAGATTTGGGGTTGGACTTCTGGGGGTGTCTGTTTATTTCTAGAAGAAGATAATGTGTGATCATGGGTGTGTACTTCTTTCACGGTTGGTAGCATCCTCAGGAAAATGTGAAATGGGTAATTTTTCTCTTGGGTAACACAGCTCTTCCTTTCACTACCCCCAAAGGGTCATAAGATCCCAAAAGAAATGGACTGGTTAATGTAATCTAACTCTCCAGACATAAAATTTAGGTAAGAGAAACTTAAAGTGGAATCAGAACTTATTTTGCACATTTCACATTGCCCCTCTCTAAATGATTTACCCTTGTACAAATGTTTCAGTTATACTTTTTCTTCTCTATATTCCATATTTTTTATCTTTATTTTCATGCATCTCTTTATCTTATATGGGATTTCTACCTATTCTGACACTAACAATAATTTTACCTCATTATATTCTATATTACTTTAATGACATGCATTTTAAACTGGAAGGTATTATGCCAATATTTGATCTTGGATAATAACTAGAAATGGGGTGGCTAGATCATATGGTAAATATTTATTTTACTGTTTAAAATAATGTCAACATGTCTCCCAAAGCAAGTGTACCATTTGACACTCTGACCAGGAGTGTATGAGTTTTACAAGTCCTTCATATCTTGATCAATACTTGATATAGTCAGATTTTTAATGCTTGTTTTATTCTGCTTTGCTGTATTTATAAGTATGTAGTGATATATCATTTTAAATTTGTACTTCCCTATGACAAATACTTTTTCTTTCATCTGTTCATATGCTTATTTGTTATATATACATCTTCTTGGTGATGTGCCTGCTCTAATAACATTCCCTTTTGTAGTGAGGTTGTTTTCTTCTTACTGATGTTCTAGAGTTCTTTGCATATTTTAATTACAAAACCTTTAGCAGATATATAGTTTGCAAAATGTTATTTTCAGTTTGTAAATTATCCATTCTTTCTCTCTCTCTCTTTTTTTTTAATATATCTTTATTCATTTCAGAGAGAGGAAAGGTGAGGGAGAGAGATAGAAACATCAATGATGAGAGAGTCATTGATCAAGCCCTCAACCCGGGCATGTGCCCTGACCGGGAATCGAACCCCGATCGCCTGGATCCCAGGTCGACGCTCAACCGCTGAGCCATGCCTGGCCGGGCTTCATTCTTTCTCTTAACTGTGACCAAGAAAAGCAAAAGTTTTATTTTTTAAAATTTTGACAGAGTCTAATTTCTCTTTTAAATACAGGATTGAGCTGTTTTTGTTATATCTGCAAACTCATTGTCAAACTCAAGATCACAAGATTTTTACTTTTACAAATACCACACTGCCTTATTTCTTTTCTTTTCTTTTTTTTAAATATATCTTTATTGATCTCAGAGAGAGGAAAGGAGAGAGAGAAAAAGAGAAACATCGATGATGAGAGAGTCATTGAACGGCTAGCCCACAACCTGGGCATGTGCCCTGACTGGGAATCGAACCCCGATCGCCTGGATCCTAGGTCGACACTCAACCGCTGAGCCACGCCCGGCTGGGCCCACACTGCCTTATTTCTGTGTGGGGATGGGCAAAGAGGGGGATATCTCTAAAAATGTCAACAATAAAATACAGTTAAAAAATAAAAAATAAATTAAAACATCTTAAACCGAGCAGAATGAGTACTCCAAATTTGTTGTTCTTTTCCAAATTTGTTTTGGCTACTATAGTTCCTTTCCCTTTACATATAAATATTAGAATAATCTTGCCAGTATGTGCATACAACTTGCTGAGATGTTGCTTAAGATTTTGTTGAGTTTAAAAATCAAATTGATGAGAATTAACATCTTCCAATCCATGAAAATGAAATATTTCTCAATTTATTTGTGTGTTCTTTAAAATTTCCATTGGAATTATGGAGTTTCCCTTGCCCAGATTTTTTTTCAGATTTAATTTGAATAGTTAATTTTTGATGCAATTATAATGGCATAATCTAAATTTCAAAATCAGATTGTTAAATTTCTGCTTTCAGTCCTGTTATGTAAAGAAGTTGGAAGTTATCACTTACATTTTTTACGACAATAAAAACGAAACAAACTAAAACGCAAAACTTTGCTTGAACCCATGAGAGAATTAATGTTATAGGGTGAACCGATGCCCAGAGATACAGAAAGAAAAGTGAATAAAGGGAATAAAGCCAACATGAGCTTGTTTGGAACAGGGGTGGGGGAGCCATAAACTGGGAGAAATGCTTAACCAGAATTTTCGATAAATTTCTGGGTACTCTGAATGGAATAACATGAGCATGAGGAGCTCCTGGGGACTGTAACCTTGTGGTGGCATACTGTACACAGAAAAAAGTCCAAACATATAGAGGGTTTTTATGAATTTATTTGAGCCAAACTGAGTACCTTTGCCAGAAGCATAATCTCAACAGATTGAGAAATTGCTTAGGAGAATGGCAGTGCTGCAGTTTATTTTATAGGTTACAATCAAAAGCGGGGGCCCAAAGGGGTTACATGAAATCCACTGGTGGTAGGTTAGGGAGGCAGGAGAAGGCAAAGTGGGAAATGTCTGGGGTTGGATGAAAAGTAAAATGGAGAGACAAATACTTCCTTTACACGGGTGGGTATAGGATGGTTGACCGATATTTGCAGCACGTAGAGATGGTGCGCCAGGGAGCAAGATAACAATGAGGGGTTGTGTGGGCTCGCGTCCTGGTGGGGTCTGAGAGAGGTCTGGGAAAAACGGATGATTACAAAGGAATGTTATGGTAGATATAAGAAAAATAGACAGGCTCAGTTAAGGTAAAGTTTGACCTTTGTCAAGGAAGATTCTGGCCTAGGACACGACTACCTGCCATGATTTGCTTTTAGCTGGGAAGTTTTAATTTCACACCATCCTATGTGGTTACTTGAGGTCCTTGAGTTTGTAAAGCCTGTCATGCAGGCCTCCCCTGAGCTTGTCAGTTTAGTATAGGGCCCTTTTTCTGTCTACAACCTTTATCTGGTTTTCAATTCCTTTCTCTTCCATCTATGTTATGGTTTTCCTTGGAAACTGCCTGGTTCTGCATGTGATAACTTATTGACAGTGTCTCAGAGAGAAAAAATTATTTAAATAGAATAGTCATCTCTATTTTCATATACAGCACTTGTCAGTAATTAAATACAAATGGAGAGAATATATTTTCATTTAATATATTTCACAGATAATGCAGAATTAATTGTATATAATTACTACCTAATTGAATGTTTTAGTAATTTGCTATGTATGTGTCATTTTTATAGCAGTTTTACAAAACCTTTTTACATGTGGCTCTTTATATTATGCCTGTCAGAAAGGAGACACATTTCTCTGGGACTCAGAAAAGGAAGGTTTACTGAAGAATTGAGTAAAAAATAAAAGTGCAATTTAGGAAGAAAAAAAAAGCAATAAATAAGCCTTACTTAAACATGCATACTATTTCAGACTGAAAAGCAGATTTAAGAAAAATTCTTTAGAATTTTGATACTCAATTTCCCCATCAGGTCTTTATTTCTTGCTTTTTTGGGGGTTAGCATTGCATTTTCAGTCAATGCAGTCGGTCTCCCTTGCTCTAAGATTTGAAAAGGCTTGTGGACTCTGGAGAAAATAGTGTTATTTCTCTATTCCTCACAATCTCAGGGGAAAACAAGCCTGGAAGTGTCCAGGCAGAATCTTTCTTCACTTGCATCATCCACCACTAGGGAATAGTGGTCTCCCAGGAGCCTGGGTCCACCTGGCTCACAATCCACTTCACTCTTTTTCATAAATCTGAGCCTCTGACTCTCTGTACCATAAAGACTGATAACAAAGACAGTGTTCAGAGGCTTACTCAGGGGCAGCAGAGCAGTAGCCCTAAGCTATCACTATCCCCTGCTGTGGGTGGTGACAGTGGCTCACATAGACTACCAGTGAGTGAAGCTAACAATCTGATTTGCCTAAAGTGGTCAGGACATTGACTCGCAGCCTTGAGCCACCCCAGAATTCTACAGTTAGCTTTACCTGTGCCACCCTCTGAGTGGCTGTGCTGTATTTCACTATTCTCAACGACAGCAGGCACTTTAAACAGACCTGTGAATAAATATCTTTCTTATATTGAAAAATTACCTTCCAATATTCATGTCCGCTTCCTCTGCTTCTGCTATCAATTCCTCCATGTTCATTCTTACGGGGTTCCCTGGCCTAGACCAGTACTATCCCTGGTTTTCAATCCCCTTCTCCTCCACCTACGCTACGGTTTTCCTGGGCAACTGCCTGGTGCTGCAGGTGATCCGGACAGAGCCGAGCCTGCACCAGCCCATGTTCTACTTCCTGGCCTTGCTGGCCCTCACGGACCTGTGCATGGGGCTGTCCACAGTGCACACGGTGCTGGGGATCCTGTGGGGGCTCAGCCAGGAGGTCGGCCTGGATGCCTGCATTGCCCAGGCCTATTTCGTCCATGGTCTCTCCTGCACAGAGTCTGGGGTTCTTCTTGCCATGGCTTTTGATCGCTTTACTGCAATCTGCAATCCTCTGAGATACTCATCCATCCTGACTAGCAGGCGAGTCATTCAGTTCATGGTGGCCATTGTGCTGAGAAGTGCCGTGTCCATTTTTCCTGTCATCGTTCGTCTGAAGTTCTTCCATTACTGCCGCCCCCACATCCTCTCCCACTCCTTCTGCCTGCACCAGGACCTCCTCCGGCTGGCCTGCTCTGACATCCGCTTCAACAGCCTCTACGCCCTGGCTCTGGTGACCTGCACCTTGCTGCTGGATGCCGTGCTCATTCTCGTCTCCTACGCTTTCATCCTGTGGACAGTGCTGGCGATCGCGTCTCGGGAAGAGAGGCTCAAGTCCTTGCAGACCTGTGTCTCCCACATCTGCGCTGTCCTGGTTTTCTACATCCCCATCATCGGTCTCACCATGGTGCACCGCTTCGGGAAGCACCTCTCGCCCTTGGTTCATGTGCTCATGGGCACCATTTATATTCTCTTTCCCCCCCTGATGAACCCCATCATCTACAGTGTAAGGACCCAGCAGATCCGAAGCAGGATGAAGAAGTGGTTTTCTCTGAAAAATGGAGTAAAACCTTTGAGTTTTATCAGTAAGTATGTTTTAAGGTCCAAATAATAATGCTAGTTCCATGTGTTCTATAACTTACAATTTGTATAATATTTTCTAAAAATTTTTGTTCTTTTATGAGGACTTGAGTGTTAGAGAACTTAAGTGCCTTGCTAATGGGAGGGAGGTGATAACACTAAGTTTTGCTAATACACATTCCAGGAAAGATTTCTGCAGGTTTGCTGGAGGATGATCATAGCAATTACGGACATGACAATAAGTGTCTTTGCATTTTATTGACATATTCTTGCTGGATGGTGGCCATATAAAAATTTTGTTACCATGAATTCATCAGTATTTTCATTTAAATCTAGACACACCTCTCCCTAACATTTTGGGAGCATGTTTATTAGTAAGACTTTTTAAGTAATGGTGCTCGTATCAATATATATGATGCAGTGAAATTGGACTTTCTTCATTCCTATGAGGTGAGGTGAGTAATATCTGAATCTGCGATGCTGAGACTGCTCTCTCTTCTTTTTCCCCCATTAGTGACTTAGTGCAAGTCTATTAAAGAAGTTTTGGAATAGAAACATTTATAATCCATGTATTCCACAATTCTCTTAATTTCTTTCCATGCTATTAAGACATGATCTTATTGCATGAACATTATATAGTCTACATTTTTTAGTAAATATGTATAACTAGAATTTCTTCATGGCATTTGAAGTTCTTCATAAAATATTCAGGAAAAGAGTTTAGATTAGAAACTATTGCAAAAGCATAATTGAGACCCGATAGTGGCCTCTCTTAGAGTAATGGTTGTGAGAACAGAAATAGGATAACACGTATTAATAAAATTTAGAATACATAAACACAACTTAATAGGTGATTGTAGATTAGAAAACAGAAAGTGGTTTTACAGTTGATTCTTGGTTCTGGTTTCTTTAATGGAATTGATGGTGTATCACTCAGTGAGATAGTGACAAAAAGTCTTGTTTATACAAAGAGACAGTTCTACTTACCTTGAACACATTGAGTCTGAAGTATTTGTGGAATGTTTATAAAGTTCATTAAAAAATATTAAGTAATTACCTATAGATTTTCAGATGCATTCCTAGACACTACCAAAGTTCAGGGCAAGAGTAGAGAGGAAAAAAAGAACTTTGCCTTCAATCTAACACATGATACAGACAAAAATTATTAAGTGCACATCTACATTTACAATTACAATAAAGGTCATTATTAAGAAATAAAGAATTTGAGTGGTGAACACACAATACAATATACAGGTGATATATTATAGAATTGCACACCTAAAAACCAATAAAATTTTATTAACCAGTGCCACCCTAATAAATTCAGTAAAAAATTATAAAAGAAATAAAGAATATGATGATAACAGAAAGACTCAAATTGAGTAAAAGAGGATTTTACTATTGATTTCCCTTAAAAAGAGGTGTGCAGTCGAGGACTGTAGAATGAAGGTAAGTAACCTTAGACATATGAAAAGAAAAGAAATTTTCAGGCAAAATAGAAGAGAAAAAAATGTTGAGAATACATTAGGCTGCATAAAAAACAGGTGAATAAGTGGTTATAAAACTCAAGGTGGAAAAGTTAAAATTAGAAACAGGGTTATAAAAGATGAGATTTTAATTTAGTTTCAGTTCTTAGGGCAATGTCCTAATAAGTTGCAATGAGAATGGTGATATGATCAAACATGTATGTTAAGAACATTAGTCTTCCTTCTGAATAGATGAGAAGGATAAGAGTTGACAGTAGAATACTGGCTAAAAGAGTTTTAATAAAAAGTTATAATAGTGCTTGAGCAAGGGTTAGCTCAGGGAGTTGCAAGAGTGGATGCATATGAGATGTATTTAATAGGTGAGATCAAAAGATTTGTTGATTCGTGGGCTTTGAGGGTTGAGAATAAGAGGTAACAAATCATGTTTAGATTTTTGGAATGGGAGACTACAGAAATTATGTAGCTATGTACAAGCTTTCCTCTTTTTATTGCACTTTACTTCACTGATGCTGTGTTTTTACAAATTGAAGGTTAAGACCCTGTACCCACAAAACAATTACAACTCACTAAAGGTTGGTATGATGGTTAGCATATTTTAATACATTGGGTTTTTTTAGACATAATGCCATTACACACTTAATAGATTGCAATATAGTGTAAACATAACTTTTATATACACTGGAAAGCAAAACAAAACAAATGTGTGGCTTGTGAGCCTGCAATATCTTTTAGGTATGACTGTACTGAGATAAAAAAGATGTGGGAAAACAGGATTTGTTTTACACGTATTCTTTTTATTTATTTGATCTGCCTAAGAAACGTTTAAGAAGAAATTCCAACCTGAGGTTTGATATACATATCGGAGCTCTGATGAAAAGAGTGTCTTGGATAGTGTGTTAGGAAGTGATAGTCATAAACATGATATTTGAGATCATGGGAGTGGATGACTTGATCAAGTAAAATAGATGGCATAAGTATACTACAAAACTAGGACAATATAATATGGTACAGTTGAATCACAAAAAAATAGTGTAAAAAGAAAAAGTAAAACTATTAGGGGAGCATTATGTCACTAAATTCAATTGGAAAGGCATTTTAAAGAAGAGAATGCTTATGTCCAAATCACATGGAATGACTTAAATTGGGTACTGAAAACCATCCATTAGATTTAGAAAAACAATATAAAACTATTACGAAGAGTATTTGCAGAGTGCTGAGAATGGATTCAATGTTTTAAAAATTCATGAAAAAAAATTTTGAATTATTAGGTGAAAGTAATGTGGATTTTCATTTATTTATTTCCTTATTTAGTTATTAATTTATTATTTATTTATTTATGAGAATTTGGCGATAGAGGGTTGAACATAAAAGTGTAGTAGTCAAAAAACAAAATGTAGTGGTCAAAGGCTGATCTAGAGCCCTCTTTTTTCCCTCCCTTCCTCCCTTCATCCATTCATTCCTCCACCCCCTTCCTTCCATTCTCTCTTTGTCTGCCTGCCTGTCTGTCTCTCCCTCTCTCCTTTTTCCTTCTTCCCTCCTCATCAATCTGTTTGTTTTTATTTGTATAAAAATACATGATTATATCTTAATTTTGCTTTCTTTCCCTGTTGTTTTTGTTATTGTATTAAGCTATGTACTTCCTAAAGACAAATGTTCCTGCCTAATTTATCATCTAGGACTATGTTCTAATGGTTCCAGGACAAAAAATAAATACCTTGTTTGAGGAATAGCCACCTTTCTCCCTATGAGCTTCTACCTTGATGCAGTCAGTAACCATTAATAACTCATAATTGATACCACAAAGGTAAATATTCCTGACGTTTATTTTTTGGTAATATGCACACTTTTAGTTTCATCTTCCCATTTTTGCCCTTCACAATATCTGAAAACAAGGGCTTTTCACCTTCCCACCAAGGAAAATAAATGCAAAATGATTCATAAGTAATAATCATAATGAAGATCACAAATATTTACATGCATTATCTCCTTCTATTATTTTTGTTTTATTAATCCTCAGCTGAGGATATTTTTTCCATTGATTTTTAGAGAGAGTGGAATGGAGGGAGGGAGGAGAGAAAGAGAGAAAAAGCAATGTGAGAGAGACACATAGGTTGGTTGCTTCCCACACGTGCCCCAACCAGGGCCAGGGAATTAACCTGCAACCTATGTACATATCCTTGAGCAGGAATGGTATCTATGACCCTTTGGTGCTTGTTCAGACACTCTATCACTGAGCTACACTGGCCTGGGCTTTCTTCCTATTTTAATGAATGTTTTTAACTTCTTTATTACAAAATAATTTCAGACTTACTTTTCAGAAAAGATACAAAAATAAAACAGAATTTCTGTACACCCATCATCCATTTTCCTTAAATTACAACAGGAGGATTCACATAACCCACACAGGACATTTCTGGAGCACTCAGCTCAGGTGATCAAAAAGACTGTGTCACCAAGTTCTACAGGACACTTACTACATTAGGCCACCCTATTAAGACTGGAAGACATAGGAGATCTACCTAATACCTAGAAACAAACACAGAGAGGCAGCCAAATGAGGAGACAAAGAAACATGTCCCAAATGAAAGAACAAGAGAAATCTCCAGGAAAAGAACTACATGAAATGAAGACAAGCAATCTACCAGATACAATTTCAAAACAGTGGTGATATGGATGCCCAAGCAACTTAGTAAGAACATTAACAGCATAGAATATGATTTAGAAACCATAAAAAGAACCAGTCAAAAACAAAGTACAATATCTGAAATGGGGAATACACTAGAAGGAATAAATAGTAGGTTAGATGAAGCAGAAGATGAAATTAATAATTTAGAAGACAAGGTAGCAGAAAACATCCAAAAAGAACTGCAAAACGAAAAATAATTTTAAATAAATGAGGATGGTTTAAGGGACTTCTGGGACAACATGAAGCATAACAACATCTGCATCATAGGTGTACTGGAAGGAGAAGAGAGAGGGAAATGGACTGAAAACCTATTTAAAGAAAAACTGACTCCTGAAATACTAATTTGAAAGAATAGATGCACCCCTATGATCATTGCAGCATCATTTGCAATAGCCAAGATCTGGAAATAGCCCAAGTGCTCATCAATTGATGAGTGGAAAAAAAGTTGAAGTACAGTTACACAATGGAATACTATGCCTCTGTCATATATACATTTGCCTCCTGTTAAATTTACCTGAGATTGTAAAAAGAGATAATAAACTCTGGGTAGATCACACACCTTAATTTAAAATATCTGTGATTTTTTTTATACCATTTAAAATGAGAAAGGTAATTTTGAAGAGTGTCTTCTTTCATGCAATCTATGCAAGAGAGTTCATATGTAAAACTCTGAAAATATTCCAAGAACAAATTTTAGATGCTCTGATACAAAAAGACTGGCAAATGAATATAATTTTATGTTTCAAGGCAAATTCTCATACATTCTATGAGAAATATTTTTTCAATGATTATATACATTTACTGAATTTTTGTAATAACTGAGTAAAAATTAGGTCGTATGTCATTAGATTAGAGGTC